GTTCTCTTCTTCATTAAACAGTTCACTTCAGGTAAAACCAAAGCATCTCTGAAAAAATATATGGGGAGAGGAGGATCTTGATTACTGAAGTTGAAAAAAAAATCTATTTAAAGATAAATCAGGGAATGTACTACGGAAAAACGTTACAGGTAGCATTCTCAGGTTATCTCTGAAGTAAAATTGATTTAGATTCTACTTCAGTTTTACCTGAATTCTCAGAGAAAAAAAAGCACTTTCTCTTGTAATTTCAAATGAAGTTTTCCTTAATATTAAATTAATTTTATTTCATCCTACAATTTTACTAATTTTGTAGTGACAATACAGAGTTACTAAGTAGAAAAGACCAGCAAAAAAACAAAAGACTAAGGCTCACTGGAATTTTTCCACAGCAAACAGCCAAGAGACAATCAATTCCTATAAGCTCAGTACATTATCTGGAGGATGATACTAAAACTACAGCCAGCAAAGCAGACAACATAAGCTTTCATATGGGCATTCTGAAAAAGTTTTCCCCCACACCCCCCCAGTTTGTACTTCAATTCAGTTTCACAATTAATCAACAAATAGCAGACTACAAGGAGTAAGTTTTCCAATTCTAAATGGCTTGTGGAAACATGAGTATTTCTGCCATTCTTGGTACAGCATTCATTGATCCTCCAAACCTCCAAACCCACTCTTACAACAGCGTGGGCCTTGTTTTCCTCCAGTATTGTTATAATTCCAAACACATGCATTCCTATTTCTCCCAGATTCTTTAGCTACATACTGTATAACTACGGAAATCCTACAACAGCAAGACTACAGAAAACAACATTCTAACAGAAAAAGGAAATTTCTATCCCTATGACAGCAAATAACACAACACATGCAGGCCAAATTTCTTCTCTACTGGAATTATAAGTTGGCTACAATTTTTAAACTCAGTGCCAAACAACAGAAGAGAATTATGCCTAGCTAAGTATTTTGAGAAACACCACATCTTTGTGCATGATATTTGACACTGAGGAAAGGCACAGACCTACGCCACTCCTGTACTGTGCATACAGAGTCATAAATTTTTCTGTTCAGTTATGCAATCTCCAGCCACTGGATGCACTTCAGATAATGCAACTTACTCAGCTTCGTCTGACTGGGAAAAAAGAATCCACTTCTAAAAACTCAAATTAATGGCTTACCTCTTAGGAAAATAACCCCCATGTATAATCCCAAACAAACACTTTCAAGAACTAAGTAACTTACCCAAGTTTCAGCATGTTGATCATATCAAAGTTGACTACATCAAACACCTTCATTGCTTTGTCATCTCCAACCGAACAGAACAACGCCCCCTCCGAACTAACAGCAATACTTTCAATAACACCTATTAAAAAAGTGAACATACTATTACGACACAGGAAGAGGGACATCCTTCACTTCATTTCAATATACCACAGGGAAAAAACCTACAGAGGTTTAAACCTGTTTCTGAGCTGTTTCTCCACCTTTTTGACTTAAAAAACGACCTGATTTTAATAAAATAAAAGCAAACGAAAACCCACAAAACAACACTTTGTATCCTATCACTGTTCAGAATCAGCTATGTGATAATGAACTACTTACCGTACACACAAATGAAAGATAATGGCAATTACTTTAATTTAAAATGTTAATTTTAAAAAGTGAGAATATTATGATATGGTAAAAAATTACGTGCTCTTCAGTTTGCATCTCTCAAAAGAGAAAAAGCAGCAGAACTCTATAAGTATTAACACACATAATAGTCAAAATTACTCTGCAATTGAGCCTTCAATGAGTTTTTCACAATACTTATTTTTGCTTGTTAGCCTCTGTTCTCACATTTTTTTCTGTATATAACAAGAAGCTGATAGTTAAGATCAAGAACCCAACATAACGCTTTTTTCCTAACTCTAAAAAGAAACATTACTTTTACTATCCATTATTAAATATCATTCTTATTGTAACAGTCTGCACATCAAACTGTTTTTCTGTGCCCCATCAGTCATATCATAATTTCTAATAGCAATGAGAACCTTGTTTTCTGTCCAGCCTATTTAATGCTTAGTGTAGTACAGAAGAGCTATGTGTACTTACTAACTCAGAAAACTGAGTTAAAATTATTAATTCTTAATTGCAATTCAGCTGATAATCATGACGATGCTGAATTTACTCTACAGCTGCAATAATTCCAGATGAAAATAACCACTTTTTTCCATACTGCAAGGAAAAAAAACAAATAAAAAAGATAAAGGATGAAGGTAACCTTACTTAAAGTAACATCTTTTTAAACTTTTCTAGATTTTATGAACCCTATTATGTACCTGGTCTGCTTGTTTTTTAAATGGACAGTTTCTTTATATCCTAGGCATTCTTCCCACAGACAGGTGACAAGGCATTGCAAAGGGTGTAGGGGATCTGTGTAGGAGGAGTCCCACGTTTTATTCTCACCATACCGCCCCTGCAGTTTCGGAGCAAAACGTGACAGGACAGGAGAATGAAGGAAGACAGGTAGATATCCTTTAATCCCTGACTGCAGTAAATGAATCCCAGAACCCCTCTCCTCTTTATGTGCATTCCCTCTTCAAACGAGTAAGAGCAAGGGAGAGGAAAAAGTGAGGTTGTTTACAGGCGAAAAAGCAACTTCTCACCTAGGTGACTCCGAAAGTGTTTAACAAACTCAATCCCTTCTTCTATTTTTTTCCAGAATTTTACATGTCCATCGTGACTGGCGGTTACAATAAAATCTGTCCTACAATTACAAAAGAAAATTAACAAAAACAAACAAAAAATAAATACACACAGTATGTACTTTCACATCACTCTGGGGCAGTAATTTGCACTATAGTTAACATGGTGTATAATGTAATGCCCACTATAATTAATGCTTTAAACAAATTACTGTAACAATCTGTTTGAATGGGTACTATGACTCCTGGAAAAGCACACAAGTATTTTAATGTACTCTGGATTAATCTATAAAAAGTCAACAGCCTGAAGACATATATAATATTATCCCTTTTGACTATGTAAATTTTACTCCTATTTTAGGTCTGGTTTCACAGTAGTTACTGTTCACTGATGTATGTATGTGTTGATATATATGTAAGGGAGAAGAAAACCATCTCCTCCATCTGTGGGGTTCTGCTGAATCATATTTTGTTCAGATGCAGTCAGCTTCTCTTATTCCTCTATGTACTGCACATTGCAAGAAGGATTTTAAGACTCTCTTTTAGTCTGCTTAAACAATCTTTATCTTGCTTCCCAGGAATCCCTTTCCTTTGCACTTAGTTTTCAAAAAACACTTAAAATACCACCTCTGGACACAAAAACTTTCCATTACTAAACTTCTACAATGAAAACTTCCTAGCATGTACAAAAATACATCTCCAACAATGAGATAAGCGGGAAAAAAAAAAAAGACGACACTTACTTAGTACATGCTACGTGTGTAATGACATCTCTATGCATGTAACTGCGTTCATACATCGAAGCACATGGTAGATTTTCAAGATAAACGTGTTCAAATTCAAGAACTAAACCAAATACAAAGAAAAACCAGGATTTATTTTTTTAAAGGTACATCCAGCTTCTGTTCTCCCTTCCTTAGCCTTGAACAGCTTACTTCTATTTTAGTCAAGAATATGCTAGGATTTTGTGCAAACATAATAAAAGGAGTTTCCACTGTGGCTTTGTGCTCAGAGTCTTACAGATTCTTGGCAGACTGAAGCCAAGAATCTGCTTTAACCCATGCAGATGCCCTCTTTTAAAGCAACTACTACCGTGGCTGTTTGAAGGTACACAAAAAAAATCGCAATACAACAATTTTTAAGTTACTGCCAGAAAACGGGAGGTCGTCCGCACCTCATTTTCTTCCAAAACCAAGAGTAATTCCCGCTGTCGTTAACAGATCCGAGGTCCCACGCAGGTATCGTAGCTTAAATTCCCAGTGCCAGCACCTGCCTATTCCATGGTTTAACTGGCCCGCCCAAACCCATCTGATTTTCT